GCTGGCATAGCAACACACCAATGACTGACAGCCAAAGCTTTATTAGGGCTGATATGTGACAAAATGCCGCAACAAGGGTATACCTAGCTAACAGTTATGTCTTGTTGTGTATTGGTGTGCGTGTCTGTCTGTCTGTCTGTCTGTGTGTGCGTGCATTTGTGTATATTGTAATTAGATACTGAGATGGTACCTTAATAGTATTCAGCTGGAGCGAGGAGGAATCAGTACCAGCTAACATGTATTATTGAAAGAGAGAGAGAGTGAACTGGCACTAGTACCCACTGGTACAGTGTGTGTGTGTGTGTGTGTGTGTGTGTGTGTGTGTGTGTGTTGGAGTGTGTATATGAATGTGTTTTAGTTCCACATGGCAGTCATTTGCATTATGTTGTATCATCTCTATCTGGAGCAGTGTTTATTCTGCATCCAATACGTGTGTGTGGGGGGGGGGTGTGGGAGTGTGTGTGCACCTTTCTTCTTTCGTGCCCTCTTCGACCTGGTCTTACCGGGCCACGAATCCAAATGAAAGCTTTGTGGCTTCTCCCCTCTGTGTTAGTGTTGGGTACTGACTTGGAAATGCTGGCTATACATGTGTACAAGCAGCTGCTACATTAGAATATTACGTACCAGGGATTTGGCTACACACGTCTGCCACTCTTTTTGATCTACAAAAAGGTGCTGAGCTGGTAAATTGCTCATGGGTATTGTGTTATTGGATGAATATTAGTTTCCTAATGTGAAGAGGCTCCAACGTGCATGTGCATGTGTGCTTTTAACTGCGGGGTGTAGTTGTGTTGCAGAACATTCCAGCTCGCCTCTGCTCTACCTGGCCTCCACTATACCGTAGTAAATTGCCCCCACAAAAAAAACCTTACATGCACACACACGCCTTGGGCTGCTCCTCAATGTTGCATGAAGTGTCCGTTCATGATGGAGACACTAGGGCCAGATCGCCTCATGTCACATTATAATGGGATTGTAATTGGATCTTTCTTGAAGGGGCCCTGGTGGGAGGAGGAGAGGAGAGGAGCAGGGAACATGAGAAAGGGAAGAAGAAGAATAACAGAGAAAGAGAAATTCAGATGACTCAGTGATGCTTTGAGTTTGTAGTACCCGAGATCCATCTCATGTTTAATTCTTGGACTGGATCTGGTTTCCTTAACTGAACCATCTAGTCCTCTCAGGTCGTCTGGGGCAGGTCTGTTTTCTGTCCCTACAGTCAAAACTAAACATGGAGAAGCAGCGTTCAGTTGTTATGCTCCATGCAGTATCTCACAAAAGTGAGTAAATGTTTGTTTATACCTTTTCATGTGACAACACTGAAGAAAGGACACTTTGCTACAACGTAAAGTAGTGAGTGTACAGCTTATATAACAGTGTAAATTTGCTGTCCCCTCAAAATAACACATCACACAGCCATTAACACAGGACGTCTGTGACTGTTCTGTCATCCAGGTCATAGTTATCCAAAGAAGGTCAAGGACAACTTGACTTGGTTGAAGATACTAGAAGACGTTTCATCCTTCATCCGAGAAACTATTTACTACTATTTAACCTCTGTGGGGTCGTTGGCCAAGATCATCGATATCGCTGATTCGTTAGTTCTCCTGGCTGTGGTTATTAGAACCACCCGTGGCCAAGTCTGAATGACCATCGTTGGCATCTTTACCTGAGGCCAATAGGTAACGCTTGTTGAGTTTCCTGGGAAGTGATGAAAGGACAGCATTGTAAGTGCTTATCCCTACCAAGTCCAGTTTCCCTGGACTTTAACTTTTTTGGATTATCACAGAACATTTTTCACTTGGGGGGTACTCACTTTTGTTGCCAGCGGTTTAGACATTAATGGATGTGTGATGTGTTATTTTGAGGGGACAGCAAATTTACACTGTTATACAAGCTGTACACTCACTACTTTACATTGTAGCAAAGTGTCATTTGTTCAGTGTTGTCACATGAAAAGATATAATCAAATATTTACAAAATTTGTGAGGGGTGCACTCGCTTTTGAAAAGGTACAAGGTAGTTTATTAGTCATTATACAGCACAAGGCTGCATAACAAAACAAATTTTGTTGTTTCTTCATGCTACACACACAACATATTAAGTGTAGGCCTATATTAAAATATGGTAACATATATGGACCGACTGCCGAGTGCTTGCTTGTTGATGGGGCAGGTCTCTGTAACGATGTGGGCACAACAGTCTCTGAATTCTGTTATCTGGTCAGTATGAGTCCCGTTTTGTCCAGACCGGATCTCTAGGAGCAGAATTAAATCCAAGCTCGGCCAGCATGGCTCCTCTCCTGGCTCTCTTTCCTTTCCTCTGAGCAATCACCGCGCCCGCCGTGGCGCCTCTTCAGGTTATTTGGGCCAGGTGGATCCTAGGCTGCTGCTCTTTAATCCAAAAATCCCGTCTTCATTTTCATGACTGTACTTATGTCAGAGGTAAAAGGGGCGGCTGTGGCTCAGGAGGTAGAACGGGTTGCCCGTTAATCAGAAGGCTCCTCCAGGCTGCATGTTGAAGTGTCCTTGGGCAAGATACTGAACCGAATGATGTATGATGAATGTGTGTGAATGGTGAATGCAGATGTAGTGTAAAAGCGCTTTGGGTAGTCGAAAAGACCAGAAAGGCGCTATACAAATATGGAGCATTTATGTGTTTCGGCTTGCACGCTGCTTCTACAAGCTCTGCCGGTTGCCATAGCTGGAACAAACTCCCAGAAAACCTATATGTAAATGCACCATGAACTGTCTTTTTTGTTGAAATGTGCTATACAAATAAACTTGCCTTTGCCTTGAGAAATGACGGGCTGCGAGGGAGAGTTTTTTGTCTCTGGTGATTGTTTTAGATGTGTTCCATCCTGACACAAATACATTCAGGGCACAGGCGCTTCTGTGCATTGGCCGTGAACGCAGTTTTAGTCACTGTGATTTTGTGGATTCTTTTTTTAGTGTGATTTAGAACAAGATCATATGTTCCTCATCGATTTCTAATTACTGGTCATGGAGTAGACATCTGATAAGGAGTAAGAGGTTAACAACATGTGGCTCCACCTCGGCATCACGTAGTCTTCAGTCTGTTTGCTCTGCAAAGACTAAACATGACCTCAATTAACAGATTGATCTTTCCGCTGTGAGGCTATTACATAGTGCGATACAGTATAATTGAGGTCGAGTCTTGATTAAATTTTGAAAAAGATTGTTCAAATGCCAATAGTATGGTGTTTGGATTTGATATCTGGGGTCGTTTAATCAATGTGACTTAGACAATGTTAACCGGTACTAAATCCTGTAATTGGCGGCTGGTGAAAACCTATGAATCTCACCCTATCTACTACTGTTTTTTCAGGTTATTCATTAGAGTTTTAAATCCTTTCAAAAGAAAGACAATTGTGGCAAATGAGGTTCAGTTTTCCCTTTGCTATGTGCTTTTGTGAGTCATTTATTTAACCTTTATTTTAAAAGGGCATCCTGCAGACATAGACATTGCCAAGATAACAGTCACGGCATGCAAAATCGGGTTCCCATTCAAAATGGAGACTTGAATAAATTCAGTGTAAGCGCCACCAAGCCAATTTTCTGCACACTTATTGTTCCTGGTGTGCAAAGTGATTTTAACAATGTGCGTTGTCACACAGCATGCACTGAAACAGGAGATTGGTGTCTGTGTGCAAAATCAGTGGGTTGTGTTATTTATTTATTTTTTTCAGTGTTGCCAAAGATATATAATGCAGAGCACACCGTAGATTTTTCTATGAATTAAAGGGATACAGTCTGTTTTTGCTAGAAAGTTTATCCAAATGCCTTCAGGTCAACTCTGAAATAATTCTATAGAAAAACAGGGAAAAGTGGCTCACCTTTTCTGCTTATTTTCAATATCAACCCTGCTTTATATTGCTGCAGATAAACACATTTTTCTCCTCCCGGCACTGAAATGCGCCACAGGAGTCGCTGCAGGCCTTTTTCAAACCTCCAACCTACCACTGCTCCCATCTGCCCCCATTTGCCCCCATTTGCCCCAGTCACCGTAATCACAGCAGCTTGCTGTCAGTATGTCTGCTCAGAGCACATAGTGACAGAGCACAGCTCATCTTACCATCACACTACATTGTTGCCTTGTTGTACAAGACTCATTCATGGCTCATTCATCTCCACCGTGCAGACAGTTTTCTTCCTTAATCACCTTAAAACTGGAAAGCAGTGTGACCGGCATCCATGCCACAGAATTACCCATTCTGTGATACCCGCCTGCAGATATGGGCTAGCTTGACGAGCTAACAGAAAGGCTTAATTGGAGCAGACAAGCACATACTTTGGTGTGCGCCCAGAGCTCACAGTAGTGAAATGTTGCCCAACCTGAGCTTATTAGCAGCACTCCTTCAGAATAGCTCTAATGCCTGAGTGAAACAAGTGCTTCGTTTGTAAACAAGGCACTGAGAAGAACACAAAACATAGGAAGAGCTTCCATAGATGTATGCTGCTGTAGGGCGGGGTAGGAGGACGGGGGACTGAAGTGGCAGCGTTTTCCGACATGTCTGACAGAAAAGCACACGAGCTCTGACAGAGTTTGCTTTCTCAGGCACGACTGTGTCCCGAACTAACTGACAGAGCGCGTGGTGTCATGGCACGACATTTCTGCGTTGGCCTGAAGGAAAAATGTCAGTCCTGCGTAAAATAATATATCTACTTTTTAGACTTTAGAACAGAAGTGCATGTGGTGCAGCCTGACAGGCTGATTCATTTTATGGCTTCCCAATTGTCAACATGGGGTTTAGGAACATGCACCCATGCCGGCTGTCATCGTGATCGGCCATCATTCAGTTTGCCTGCTGAGACGTTCGGTGACATCCAATAAAATACTGTATGTCAGATGTCCTCATCACTTTTTATATCGTGTGTTTGTTTATGTATGGCTTTTGTGGATATGAGTGACTGCTGTGAGAATGTGTGTGTGTGCGCGTCAGGTGCAAACATCTCAGTAAATCATAAACTGTGTGTCTCCAGGAGAGGATCCCGAGACGAGACGCATGAGGACGGTGAAGAACATCGCTGACTTGCGGCAAAACCTGGAAGAAACCATGTCCAGTCTACGGGGTACCCAGATCAGCCACAGGTAGGCACACGGATGGTACTGCCCACTACTTAATGGTAATGGTAAATGACTGGTCTGTTATATTGTTGAGAAAAGTGACAGAAATGTAAACACAATGTAAACATGTAAACACAAATTTGTTGGGATATTGGTTTTCCTATGTACATATGGCAAAAAGGGACAACAACAAGACTGTGATTATTGCCCATTCTGAGCCCTTGTCCGCATTTTTCCCATGCAGTCCTGGATTCTTCGGTCATAAGCTCACTAAACTGTCGAGGCTGTAGCTACAGCACATGCAAAATTCAGCTGCCCCTATAAATCACTCCTAAAACATAGACTAGTGCCACTACTTCTGTGTTCTTCCTGTCAGTCTGTTGGAAGCTGCTTCTACACTGGCATTTTATTTAGGGATTCAGGACTTTTCAATGAGCTCTACTGAACAGTACACAATTTAAACAAGGTTTAAAAATTCAACCCAAATGATTTAAACTGAATTATTCTGCACAGCCTGGCTTAAGACAACAGTGTAAAGTAAACAGTATAACTTATATCTCACAACTCAAAAGTAAAAATACTCCCATCTGCTGCTTAGGTGCTTTAATTACTTATTTAAACTTTTCCTGGCATAAGATTAGTGTTGCTGTGTGTTGTGTCTGACCGCTACTGGAACATTTGCCTGTCGGCTTCAAAGACTCGACCCCCCACCTGGCTCACTGCAGGCACCATGCAACTTCACTCAAACGTTGTTTTTGAACTAAATCAAAGTGCAACAAAAGCCGATTTGGGTGCCAGTGCTTTTAAAATTTTAAAATATCTGCACCTGTTTTAAGAGACATGTGATGCAGTATATGTCTACAGTTAGCTGTCTGTCTGAACAATTTAAGAAAAGTTGGATTGCTGTATTCAGCTTGTTTGTGTCACTCTGCTCTATTAAAAAAAAACGAAGTGGGATTTAAATTAAAGTCACTGAATGTCACATATAAGTCAAACTCTCACCGGCTATGTAAATAGTGTTTGATCTATTGTTAGCTAGCTAATGTTGCAAGCTGGTATAGATTCCAGTGTCACTGTGACCCTTAACAGGAACAAGCAAATATGGAAAATGCTAAGCATGTAGGAGCCTCTTTTGAAATAGAAGGGAGAACTATTTTCTTGCACGAACAACAGATCAACCAGAATCGTATCATCTTATCCATAAGCTGCAGCCTATAGGTTTGCTTTCCTAGGCTATTTTCACACAGACGTCATGCATGGCAAGTCAGTAGCTGAGGGGTGTTTAACTTCCTTAGAATGCGTCATAGCCAAAACAAAAGATACACACTTTGATTGAGCCCCACACATGTCACGACAAAAAATCACTTAAAATAACCAAGAGAAGAAAAACTTCCCTTTGTGATCATTGTTTTTATGTCTCAGCACCAATTATCCAAGTCAGATTCATGTGCATCCGTTGTCCTTGGAAAATAAAAGCGCTTCTGGTTTTGTTATCTCCGACTCCCGCTAAGCAGTTTATCACACACTGATGCAACAGGGAGATATTATTAATGATGTTCCCTCTATTACCATGCCATCTTCTCCTCATGTTTCCTGGATTTTAATTAAATAAAACAGGCGTCACCTTCCTCACCAGCTGGCACACATGTAATGACATTCAGGAGTTGATGGACAACCAGCACCTTAAAAGACCGTCCCATCTGTGAGCCATGGGCAGCATGGAGAATCTAACAGGGTAGAGACTGCGGTTCAGGCGAAGACAAAATGATAACCATTGGTTTGTGTCAGCTCCCCAGGCAATGATTCCCTGCTCGTCTCTCTCCTTCTCCCTCGGTCTATTATTTTGTGTGTTTTGCCCCATTTGCAGAGGAAGATGGTGACCAGGCTGCAGACAGCCATGACAGATGGCTGTCTGTGTGAGTGCATGTGTGTGTTTTCTACTCCTTTTTTTTCCTCAGAGGAGTCTCAGCCAGGCACGATCAATACAGCGCCATTGTCTTACCACCGCATTTAATCCAATGGGGGGGGGGACCCACAGGGTTGGGGTGTGAGGTGTTTGATTGGTCTGAGTCTGCAAGTCTCATTCAAATGCATCAGACGCACAATGACAGTCAGCATGAAACACAAGCAAAATGAATCATCCTACCACCACATTACCCTCGTATACAGCGCGTCTGCATCTTTGTATGTGTGATTTGGAGCAACAAACAGCAAAGCAGTGAGCACGGGCCTCAGATGGCAGCAGCCCCATTGAAATATTGTATGGGCTACTGCACAGTTTTCAACCATTGCATTTAAGGGATAAGTGTGTGCCTGTGTCGGACATGTTTATATTCTGAATGTAAGGATAGCCTCAGAGTATGCATGCCAAATCTGTCCATGACAAAAGCCTGGCCAGACCATCCTAATCTCTCTCCATGATAAGAAACGGCTGTAATCACCATGAAGCTTTGAAGCACCTTCAGTAATTAATCACCGTTACGCTCGAGCAGACATGACTGTCATATTCATCACTCTGTCTTCCTCCGCGCTCTCTCTCTTTGGGATTCTCCCTCTATACCAGTTTATACCCCATTCATGCAGGCCGGGTGTTCAGACCCATCAAAACAGAAAAACCTTGCCCACCACAGTTATAGTCATTATGATAACAATATCAGTTGAGCCCATATGTTCTCTGAGTGTTCACCTCAAAAAAATCTACCTCTATGCGACACTAAAAGAGCAGCAACTTTACGCTTTGTATTAAAGCAGATTTGTGAAGGCGTGTCCAATGACTGTGCGTAATCGTGGTCTTTCTTTTATTTTCCATTTTTACTTGGAGCAGGATCAGAAGGTTTTCCATTCATTATTTTTTCATTTTGAAAGTATTATATTTTATTTTCATACTTTTTATCAATGGATGACAGTTGAGAGATGACTTGAAATGTCGCCCCCAAGGCCCATCCCCGTGTGCCACCACTCATCACACAGTAATTAGCAATGGGGTCACGCCTCACAAAGACGTTTGCTCCCCACCTACTCCCCGTTCCTCCACTGCATTTTTGATTTATGCGTGTCCACAGCGAAGGGGCAGCTTGCCTGGAAGTTGGTGGCAGCTAATGTTACCTGATATTACTGACCCAGTTGAAAAAGCTCTATGTGGTTAAGCTACAGTTTCAGAGGCCACTGAGACGGTCTCCCTTTCCCATTGAAACGACCTTGCTACTTTGATGCTGCAGCCATCATGGCAGCTCAGTTCACATCCACAGCATTCCTCGGAGATTCAGATTCAGGGCCTTTTCAGATAATCTGTATCGATCAAAAAACACATTTAATTAAGTTTTTTTCTGTCCTAACAATGAAAAATGGTATTGATTGACATTTAAAGGGGTAAGAAACAGCTCCATGTGTGAACAAATGCTGTGATCTTCAAGGACAAACCCGGCACAGCAAACAGAAAAGGGAAATCTCCCCTGCTTTTGTCTCCCTGTCTGCTCGGGCCTGAGGGATCCCTGTCTACTCCCATGGGGATTCAGCTACCGCCAGATGACATTTTGAACGTAATAGCTTCACGCAGTTGGGTTTGTTTATTTTGTGTTTACATTTGGAGTACAGAGAGAATGGAGCAGGCTAAATTATTCATTGCTTTGGAACTGAGGAGATAGCCCTCGGTCCTATTTGTGTGCATGTACGGTATTCTTAAACCAACAAGTTTTTTTTTTTTTAATCTACATTTCGCTGACGCTATGATACTAAGCAATTTGCAATTATTTCAACCGTACAGTAAAAGTTAAGTCCTAAACTACCAAAAGGACACATTCTTAACAGTGATGACAGGTGAAAGCCAGAGACACTTTTCCATCCCTGACAATGTTCTTGTGAGAGCAGTCAGACTTTAGTGGAGAAGTGACATGGTTCAGCTGGAGGAACGTAATACGAGGCACTTCTTGACAAGATGAGTTTTCAGTCCACGATGGAAGATGGAAAGTGACTCGGCTGGTCGGACCAGAGTGTGTGTGCATGTGTGTGAAAGATAGTTGTGAGCAATTGTTCTGAACTGCTCTCAGCCTAGTATGGTTTAACATTTCCCAGTACAAATGCCTTCCTCACTACTATGTAGACACGCACACATTCATACTATACTGCATGTATACATAGATTCACATGGACATAGACGCATGCACACAAAACAATGCATGTTACGTCATGGGAATTTTAGATGACATGTAGTAGTGATCTTTCGTTCCTATGATGCAGTACTTTCTGCCCCGAGAAGCTGGATGGCAGTAACTGTTACACACCGAGCATGAGTTACTGAGTTACGAAGTGTATAAATTTTATATCTAGGGTCTACGATGATGAGCTTGGAATATCAAGTCAATATTTCTTTCAGGTTTAAAGGCAAGTTTCTTATCTTTATGGTCAGAACATGACAAACACTTGATGACAAACTGTGAAGTACTTCACAAATCTGTGGTAGAATTCAAAACAATTATAGTGATAAAATCTTTTTTCAACAAATATGCAAGTAAAATGAGTAAAATGAAGTCCTTTTTCCAAAAACAAAAGAAATATCTTAATATAAAAATTAAGTTCTGATTCATTTGTGATTTAAATGAATAAAATCAAACACTATTATTATTATTGAACATTTGTTATATCTGTATTGAGCCCTACTGTGAAATACCCAGCGATGACACCAAATCTATTTCTAAATAACTTAGCCCTTAACATTAGAATACATGTTATTTGTAGTGTAATGTTCCGTGTACCATTTTAAAATCTTGATAATGTAACCCCAGTTTTTTAAATAAATCCAGGTTATGAAACCAGACCACTAACTACAACTGATAACTCATAGCTGGTTACATTGGTACAGTTTCCCAATAACAAAATGACAAATTACAGATAAATTGTCATCACACCAAATATGGCTGGTCCACTAGTCCACTATGCCAATTAAAGTTAGCATAATTGGTTTCAAAGCTGCTGATGTGAGTTTATGATTTATGTTCATGTTTAGCCCAACAAAAGAAAAACTTTTT